CCCGCCACCACTGTGGATCCTCTAAAAAATGCATAAATTTCCGACGGGCTTTCGGCCCCGGGGGATCGGAGCTCGGTTTCCGTCTGTGGAGTTGAAATTTTTGAATTATGAACACGTTCATTTGAATTATGAAGGTGAACGGACTTGGGATTGTCCCACACTCGCTCTCCACAACCCCTATCACGGCATCACTTTCCGGCTCGATGCTCCACGCAGTGGCTCTCGTATTCCAAGGCAATTGTTTATGGTTGAAAATTGCGTCTCTGTGGACCTATTAGCGTCTGATAAGATATACATACATATATCTGTGTTCGTCCGCGTTGCCGTTGATCTTGGCATAGAGTTTCAAGTGTATGTCGACGTCTGCGTCAATGAGACCAGACTTTCTAGCTGCTCTGACACACAGTAAAATTCTATTGATTTTCACTTAGAGAAAAGTCGTCGTTTGCTTTTATATTTATTCGAGTTATCTTAGTTTGTCATTTAGGTTCGGAACGATAGTATGAGAATGGTAGTCGAGGCGGCGAAGGCAGCGGAGAATTCCCGAAGTTAACCTAACGTAACCTAACCTAGCCTAACATTGCCTTTCCATTCGTTGGCGTCCTTATTGGCGCGGTCTTATCGTCCAGTTATTTATAAGTGTCGCGCGCGGAACATTAAATTTCCATTACTTAAATATCGATAAGTTAATAGCCGTGTCAAACCAAGTGAAACCTGAAGCATCGTTTGAGACAACAGATCGGGTTGGGTTATTTGTAAATCGCGTATACATCGACTTGAACATCATTGCGCGTGTGAATAGTTATCGATTCAACGGATTGATGGAAGGAAAATGTAATACTGAGCTCTCGTCACATTCTGCCTGTATCGTGTATTAGGAAAAGTGATTCGAGTGCCGAGCGATACTGCGGAACCGCACCCAAATCGTTTTAACCATATTGTGAAACCAGAAATAGTAATGGCACGCTTTACCTGGTAATAGACTGAGACACGGTGGCCGTCGTAGTGCTGAGAGTAGTAGTGGTATAATAATGGCAGCAGCAATAGGAGAGCCACGCAGCACAATACGAACCGATCGAGAGTAGCAGCTAGACATTTGCTTCGCAGAGGGAGTGGCGGCAGAGCTCGCGCGATAACGAAAGGTCTTCACGATTAATTTTCATTTAGTCGCTGAATCGCGTCCACTAGCTATTTTCTCTCTCTCTCTCTCTCTCTCTCTCTCTCTCTCCCCCTCCCACACCCCACACCCCACACACACACCCCACCCCC